AAAAATTCTACTTCATATTTGCATTTCAGCGTGTGCACTATTCCGATATCCATATGCTGAATGACAGATCTACAATTTCGAGGGAAATAACATTACAGATACATTATCTTTCACTAAAACTTTACGTGAAGTATGAGCCGAATAGTTGTCTACAACCAGGACTATTTTCGAGTCACCAGGTAAACTAACCGAATTCAAATGTTGCCGAGCCTCGGGTATAAAATGATTTTCAAACCAATCATTCATTAACGCTTATGTCATCCATGCTCTTTTATTTGCACAATATATAATGGGGAAAGTCATTACTCCTTTAAATACTTGAGGTCTTGCATGTTTTCCGATTACGAAACGTTTGCACTTGTGTGTTCCTGCAGCATTTTCGCACCCTTAAATTGTTAGTCTCGCTTTGGAATCTTTGACACCAGTTGGAGCCTTTTCTGTAGAGGTTGCCAAGGTATTTCGCGGTACATATTGCCAGAAAAGACCTGTTTTATCAGCATTGTAAATTTGTTCTGGAGATAATTATTCACTAGTAATGAGTTCATTGAATTCATCTGCAAATTGTTCAGCAGCTTCAGTGTCAGCTGAAGCTTTTTCACCTGAAATTTTTATTTGTCTTATACCATGGCAATTTTTAAATTTGGTTAACCAACCTGTCAAATATGTGCACTCAGGTTTAAGTTCATTTCTTTATCAAATATTTTGGCTTGAGCCATTAGCACTGGACTCGTCAATGGCATGCCCTTGCTGCGATGCTGTCTGACCCATTCAATCACCACTTTGTCGTGATCGTCACTTTCAGCATAACAAACACTTTTCTATTATTCACTGCGAGTGGGGTGTTGGAATCCACAAAAAATTCAAAAAGTTCCTTTTTCTTTTTTTTTGATGTCATATACAGTTGACTTTCCAATGCCATACTCCTCGCATAATTTTGAGACGGATATATGCCTTTATCCATTTTTGCAGCAATTCCATTTTTTTGTTTAATGGACATCGAAACATGCTTTTGCTTTGTAGATCCTTTGGCAGCTCCAGAAATGAAAACTCTTTTCGACATAATTGAAAGTTCAAGCTTAGTTTTTACAATATTGCTGCAATTATAAAAGTCTACAAAATAATAAGCTGGATCAAATTAGAATATTAAGGAGCAGCACAGTCTGCTACATTAACTGAAATGCCTTTGAATCAATAAAGATAATTTTAGCCTAGCTTAATAGTGTCCATTATACATTATTGGCTGTATATCACAAGATTGGCGTCAAAAGCCAAGTTGTTCCGCTAAATGTTATCTTGCTCTTATTGTCTACTGAATTAAGTCTGAATTGTATTAGTTTAGTTATTTACTATACCTACGTTTATTTCTTGCACATGCTAAAACTAATCTGAGTCCTGAATAAATAAACTCCCACATATACTTAAGGATTTATCTAGAGCCAGTGCTAGATACAATCTGGTGCAGTCTCTGCAGGTCCTAAATTCTGCTACAAAGTGCCTTCCTAAGTTCTAAATTTTCGCCACGCCTAAACTTTGGATCCCAGTGCTTTCCCTAAATTATAATAAAACTTCTCATCCTTTAATTTTGCCACTTGGTGCTTTCCCAAATTCCAAAAATTTTGTCTTCCCTAAATTCTGCCCTCCTTTGCCGACATATTCTGCCGCTGCTTCTGGGTTTATGGTGAATAACATCAGTTAAATAGCACTAAATGTAATCTTTTGGCCTATGACTTTCATTAATAAAATCTATTTTTAGCACATGAATAGAAAGTTTTGTTGAATTTTTCCTTGCCAACATTTCTTAGACCATTTAAAAATCTATAATCATTGCCAAGTGTAATGTCAGCATAAAAGGTTGCCATACTCTTGTTATTCAATTACTAATATTAAAAATAGTTTAGATATCACTGCATGAGTTACTGAAGCTGTCATGTATTGATAAACATGCGGTGATGAAAGCAAAATATAATAAATAATGACACGCCACCCCCCCCCCCCCCCCCCCCCCCCCCCCCCCCCCCCCCCCCCCCCCCCCCCCCCCCCCCCCCCCAGGTCGGCATCAGGGATATAAAATAGGTGAATGTTTCTGTTTGAGATGTATGCCAAGCAGATACTCAGTTACGGAGCCAAATTATTAATCTCACAAATTTATGCTTACATGATTGTTTTTCCATAATAAGGTATTTTAATTTGTACCTAAGTGAAATTAAGAATCGGAATTTTTAAGTGAAAATCTCCACGTTTTATGATGGAAGGAAAAATCAAATGCGCATGTGTAAAGCATACAAAAAAAAAAAAAAAAAAAAAAAAAAAAAAAGTTTGTGGCTTTGAGGTCTGGATTTTAGATCACTCCGAATAATGGACGCCCGGATTTCGGACTTTGTACTGTATATCGTATATACTTAAGATGAATATAGAAGAATAGAATATACATACTTAATATGCACAATCTGAGATGATTTATTTCGATACATAAAAGAAATAATGGACTTTCCTTTGCGCCCTATACATTTCTATACACATATTTTAAAACATAGTAATATTGCAGAATTATCATGAAAACAAAAACATGGCTACCACTTTAACTGTGACTGAAATGAAAAGAAAAAGAATGCTATAAGGTTACAAGGTTATAAAATTGCAGATTATATAATTTAGTATTTAAACTAAATTTGGAATTTGCTTGCATAAATTTCTCAGTTATCTTAAACACTTGATTAACTCAATTATTTAAAGAAATTCATCAAAAATCATCAACAGACTGCATCATTGCTGTTGTTGTCTTTAACTACATTCATGTCAAACTTGGCGAGCTTCCATTTTGAAAAAGATACCTCACTTAGGAGGCAGAAATCCTCATGGCAGGGACAAGATAGATTATTTGCTTATGCCATGCCAAATGAATGTAAAAAACAATTGTTAATAGCATTGGTTCCAGTTATGTATTGCTCACTGTTTATTGTATTTTAATAAAATACCAAGAAAAACTAATGTTACATATACCATTTATACAGTTCATCTTTAAGAAAATTCAACTGCTTGATATTTTAAACAAAGGACAGAACCCAGTAAGCTGTATTTTTACTGACATTCATTCATACATCTATCAAATATATAATTAAGAATGCCAACATTAAATATAAATTGAACGATTTATATTTTTTTAAGCTTGGCACTTTCAGATAAACAAAAAGCATTTACCCAAAATATGTGTTATTCAAGATGTATCAAATTAAAAAAAAATCTTAACTGTGTCACTGTAAAAAAATACATTTGAGAAATGTACTGAACCCATATATTTTTGGAATTCACACAGTTTAATCAATCACTATTTTCTTAGTGAAAACATTAACTTTGAAAATTCAAACCTTCGAAGTATACTGAACCATTCCTTAGGAAGAGAACAAAATTAATTTTACACTGGTTTGACAAAGGCATATCAATTCAAAAGGGAAAGGTTATAATAACCAGCTCATGAAAAGAAAAATTAGAGTCCCTTTGCAGTTTAACATAATTACACACATAAAATTATTGCTATTTAATTCTAAAAACCAAGAGAATAATTTTATAAATCATAATTTCATTCTTTATGAATCAGCACAGAATGCTTTTGGACACACATTGTAATGAAAAATAAATATTGCATTACTCAAAGCAAAAATCATGTTTTCCACATAAAGAAATAGATTTTTGCAACTATGCATTGAAGTTATACAACATTTGTGACATTCAGGTTTTCATGTACAGTCAAAAGTCGCTAATCTGGACTCGTCGGGACTTCGGCGATTCCGGATTATCGATTTTTCCGGATTATAGATCATCGGTTTAAATCTGGTAAGATGGCATGCAGAAATTATAAAATTAAAAATATGAAACCGTAATTAATGAAATAAAGAACAATTATGATCTAAAGGGTATCAAAATTTACAAAAAGAAAAAGCTTAATATTTATTTGTTTACTTTGTTCATTTCTTTCAATGTAAGTTGTTAAAGTTGCTTTGTTTCATGTGACAATGCTTTCTCTTTAATTCTATTAAACAGACATAATTTCTTGTTTAGTTACAAAGTTCCACTGTTCAAGTCCTATAATTGCTGAGTCGAGAATACAGACTAATTTGTCAATCGAAATTTTTTCGTTTTCAATAACCTCTGCGTCACTTTCTTCACTATTGGAAGCGAATCATAATGATGAGGAACTTGATTTAAATCATATCAAAGACGGAGTACATCGAGATGAAATACTACATTTAGTAAGGAATCATAAGCCAAATAAAATAAAAACATCTGCCCTGAAGATATGGATAGTGCTGACAGATCAACTTCCAATTCATTGTGCGCCGCACAGCGTTAAAGATAAACAAAGTTTAGATAAACAAACGTTAAAGTTTAGATAAACACAGGATATGCCTTTATCCATTTTTTGCAGCAATTCCACTTTTTGTTTAATGGACTTCGAAACATACTTTCGCTTTGTAGATCCTTAACATATTAGTAAATATATATTGGAAATTCTATTTGATATAATCGAAAGTTCAAGCTTACTTTTAAAAAATTGCTCTACAGTCTGCAAAAAATAATAAGACAAATCCAATTCGAAGATTAAGGAACAACACAATCTGCAACATTAACTGAATTAGATAATTTTAGCTTAGTTTATACCGTCCGTTATACATTAAAAGCGCATTCGTAAACGTACTTTGCGCACGCGTACACGCGTATTCGCAGCCGTAAAGGTCTTTCGCGCATGCGTCAATACGGTGCATGCGCAGAAAGTTTGTAGCTTTGAGGTCCGGATTATAGATCATTCCGGATTATGGGTGTCCGAATCAACGACTTTTGACTGTATACAATTTGCAATAACAATTTAGTTAAAATATACAATAAGATTATTATTTTGCTCTTTTCAAGAAACATATCAATGAAATAAAGTCAAATTAAGAATGTACAAGAATATTTTATATAAAATTATAAAAAGTTTTCAACAAGAAAAACTGTTAACATACCATATAAAAGAAATGATATAATGCTTCCAAAAAATGCATAAACAAAAATGCACTTAATCTTAGATATAGTGTCTTCGGGCATCCTAACAGATGATTCAAGAGAAGTATGGCCAACTGTTGTGTAATCTCGAAGTAATAGCACTATAACATAACTTATCCAACCTAAGAATCCAAGAAGTATACTAATGCTAAATAATGAAAGGAAAAAAAGAGCAAGTTAAGAAAACAATGTAAATAAAATTTGGTGGAACAGCTTCAGTATAACCCACCTTCAAAGTTTGACGAATTTTTTTTGGTGCCAAAGCGTGTGAAATATGTTTTTTTGAAAAATGGTTACCATTGAGATTTTCAACGAAACTCAGTGTTTCAAAAATGGTGGCCATCTTGATTTCACCAGAAATCGTGGATAATAGAAATAAATTTACGACTATTATACACGATTTTAAAAAAAGAGAATATTAAGGAATGATTATTGAAAATGGTTAAGGTTAAAGGATGTAATTTAAAAAACAATTCCGGAAAATATCACCTTTACTTGGTTTTCCCAAATGTAAGATACCTTGGGATGGTATCTTACAATTTTTCACAACAAACTTTATCCTTCAATAATCCGCAATCCATCAAAAATCCTCAAAAAATTTCATACTCTTTTGTTAATTCATACATAAAATATCTGTTTGAAATGCCTGGATTTCCCAAACTTTTATGCTTGTTTGAAAATCCCATCTTAAATTTTCCTTTAAAATCTCCTGATACTTAATTACGACATCACTAACAGCAGGTTTAGAGCAATCCATAACTAAATGCAAAAATCTTATCTCCAAAGTAGTATTCTCCACAATATCCGAGTGTTAAACAATCGCCGAAAATAGTGTTACGAATTTTGTGGTTAGATAGTTAATTTTAGTAGAATTCTAATTAAAGATGTTGTATTTCCCCATGCAATGCAGCACGAGACAAATTTTAAGAGAAAGCCAGCCGGAAAAGTAAGAATAGAGGGACATAAGCATTTAACTTTTAAGTAAATGAATATCTTGGTAATTTGTATTGAAATTGAATAAATGTTCACCACTATGTTAGCTGTAACTGTAATTCCATCCTCTTTAGAAATCAGAAATTTACATTGCGTTTGCCGCATAGTATGGTTTGCCACAAAATATTATTTATTACCATTCTTGGCGATATTTTTTTGGTTATTCTAGGTGGGCTATACTAAAACTGTTTCAAATTTAAATTTATTTATATCGTTTTCAACAATATAAATACATTTAAACAATATAAATAAATTTTTCAAATGATACTGTTACTGATAATTTTAACTATTTCAAGTAGAGATTTAACAAGCTAATAAATATATACTTCTTCCTATTGCAACCATACTATCAGCATTTAATGTCTTCTTTTAATAACATTAACTTCAAATTCATACTATTTATTATTTTCTTCAATGGTCTCTGGTATTTGTAAAGTAATAAAATGGAAATTATTAGGAGTTTTCAGAATCCCAAAAGACAGCCAAACAGTCAAGAGTGTTTTAATTCCATCCAATGAGAACAATGCAAGGTGCAATAAGTATCAACAGACAGTAAGAACAGGAGTATGAAACTGGTCTGAAGAAAGCTAATTCACATTTATAACAACCATATCATTTATTTGCTTTGAATATAAGAAGTTAAAATCACCTAAATTTTGAAAGAACTATGAATATAGTGGATATGAATGTCATACTTTGAAACAACTATCATAAAAAAGTGTGCATTACTGAAATAAAAGAAAAATTGCTGTCCTTGCTATCCATAAGCAAAATTTTTAATAGAGGTTAAAATATTAAATACCTAACAAATTATTTGATACAATGCAAAATATTCCAGAAACTTAATGTAATACATAAATAATAATTCAACTTTATTTTCAATTAACATTATTGAAATTAGCACCCATATTTTTTAGAAAAGGCCTTTTATATGGCACTGAAACTTTTCATTTAAAATTTTAAAGTATATTCCATAGATTCTAATTTCATTATTAATACTTCTTCAGACTTTATAGATAAACGAATATTTAAAAAATACCAAAATATATTCCAGTTTTCATCCAAATTTTCTTAAAACAAAGATCTCAAAACTTAAGAGTAAAAATTAAAGAAGAAAAAAAAAAAAAAAAAAAAAAATTGTTGAGACATATTTTTATCATTTGTTACATATTTTACCCTTTAGTTACCCAGACAGAAACTACAACTAAATAGTCTATTTTTTTTAAGACAGAAGATTTAACTGATTTAAAGTAATTTAAATAATTTGATTAATGTATCTTTTCATGTATTTATTTAATATATTTCAAGAAAAGACTTTATTTTAATAATTTTAAACTAATTCAAAATATTGAAATAAGGATATAAAAATCAATGTAATAAACAGTTTACAAAAGCTTACAACCCTACACAAAGCTTTAAAAACAATGCAAAATACATATTATTTCAAAACTGACCATTTATTTTAATACTTTTAACCTTATTCAAAGTATTGAAATATTGATATGAAAGAATGAAATAATCAGTTTAATAAATCTTATTCAAAGATTAAACAAATGCAAATATTACTGTTTAACTTACCTTAAAGCAATTCGATCATGTTTCTGATAATATGCTAATCCCTTTAAAGCAATTTCAATTATTTTTAAGCCAACTTGTATCTAGTTAAAAAATTAAAAAATTACTTAAGTATATATTAATTTAACAGATTTATTTTCAAGGAAGACAAAAGTAAAATTAATATCTGTTAAAAGATATTTAAGAAATAAATATTCCTTAATTATTTAAAATAAATCTACTACATAATCACTTACTGCATCTTTATATCGATTTTGCTTTAAAAGAGTATCAACCATTGACATAAGCTCAGCCTATTAAAATGAATAAAAACTGGAATAAGATAGATGAAATAGAATTTAAAAAACTTTAGTCATATAGATAATCAAAACATTATATTATGAACATAAATAAAACATACCTGTCGAGAAGGAGAAAGTTCTCTGAAAGAAAATATTCCTATGCATTATTTAATTGACAAATAAAAATGGTGGACATGCAAAAAATAAAACTACAATACAAAGTCCATAATCCGGACTCATCGGGACTTCGGCGATTCCGGATTAGGGATTTTTCTGGATTATATATCATCATCTGGTAAGATGATATACAGAAATTATACAATTAAAAATATGAAACCATAATTTATGAAATAAAGAGCAATTATGATCTAAAGGGGATCAAAATTTATAAAAAAAGCTTAATATTTATTTGTTTATTTATTAACATTTCTTTCAATGTAAGTTGTTTAAGTTGCTTCGTTTTTTTGTGCTAATACTTTCTATTTAATTCTATAAACAAACATAATTTCTTGTTCAGTTAAAATTCCACAGTTCAAGTCCTGTAATTGCTGTGTTGAGAATACCGACTAACTTGTCAATAGAAATTTTTTCATTTTCAATAACGTCTCTGTCACTTTCTTCACTATCAGAAGCGGTATTTTCTGTATCGAGAACCATACTACAGATTTCGCCGTCCGTTGATTGATGATTGGGGCATTGTCGTCGGTTGCAATGAAAACCTTCCATTATATCATCTTCATTTATTACCGCTTCTCCACATTTCTTTACAAAATCCAATAACTGGAAAATTTCACATTTAGTTTGCGATGGCCAAAAACCTTCGAATTCGTGGCTATCATCTTCATCATCCTCACCATGAAATATGGTAGCTGGCCATAAATTATGCCAAGCATTTTTTAACGTATTTGAAGACACATCCTCCCACGATCTTGCAATGCTACACACGACAGATTTTATGCTAAAAAATTTCAAAAAGTCTTAAATAGTCTTGCCATTGTTCAAGAAATTTAACATAGATTTTAAAAATGCTACTTTATATTTGCATTACAGTGCGTGCACTATTACCGTATCTATAGGCTTCAGCCTATATGATAGATGTACAATTTGGAGGGAAGAATAATACGGATACATTATCTTTCACTAAAACTTTAAGTATGTGCCGAACAGTTGTCAAAAATAAGGACTAATTTTGAGCCATCAGATAAACCAACCGAATTCAAATGTTGCCGAGCCTTGGTATAAAATGATTTTCAAACCAATCATTCATCAATGCTTGTGCCATCCATGCTCTTTTATTTGCATGATATAGAACGGGGAAAATCATTACTCCTTTAATTGCTCAAGATCATGCATGTTTTCCAATTTCGAAAAGTTTGCACTTGTGCATTCCTGCAGCATTTGCGCACGCTAAAATTGTTAGTCTCGCTTTGGCATCTTTGACACCAGGTGGAGCCTTTTCTGTAGAGGTTGCCAAGATATTTTGCGGTACATATTGCCAGAAAAGACCAGTTTTATCAGCATTGTAAATTTGTTATGGAGATAATTATTCACTAGTAATGAGTTCAATGAATTCATCCACAAATTTTTCAGCAGCTTTAGTATCAGCTGAAGCTTTTTCACCTGAAATTTTTAATTGTCTTAAACCATGGTGATGCTGTCTGACCCATTCAATCATCATTTTGTCAAGATCGTCACTTTAGCCTTTTTCTGTTATTCATTCAAAAAGTTCCTTTTTCTTTTTGCGTATGTCATATACATTTGACTTTCCAATGTCATATTCCTCGCATAATTTTGAGACGGATGCCTTTTCATTTTTTGCAAGCAATTCCCTTTGTTTGATGGACATCAAAACATGCTTTCGCTTTGTAGATCTTTGGCAGCTCTAAAATTGGAAACTCTTTTTGACATAATCGAAAGTTCAAGTAATTTTTTATAAAATTGCTCTAACAGTCTGTAAAAAATAATAAGCCGAATCCAATTAGAAAATTAAGGAACAGTGCAATCTGCAACATTAACTGAAATGCCTCAATTCAAAATTATCTTGAATCAATAAAGATAATTTTAGCCTAGCTTATACTAGGCTAAAATTTGTTTTAGCCTAGTATAAGCTAGGCTAAAAAAAAGTTTGTGTCTTTGAGGTTCGGATTATAGATTATTCCGGATAATTGACGTCCAGATTACGGACTTTGTACGGGATATGTATATTTAAAAAAAGACAAAAATATACAACAATAGTTTTTTTTCCTTTCAATTATTTTAGTGTAATAAAAATATAGTTTCAATACATAGGACAGAAGCATGATAATTTAAAATTAAAATTTCAATATAACTATACGTTAAGACTGATATTAGCTTTACAAAGAAACTTTTATGAATTTTAAGGGTGACAGATAAGGGCACCTCTATTTCAAGCAGTAAAAATACACTCTATTTGTAGATATTATATGAAATTAATGATAAACAGTTCAATAGGCAGGTAATTTTTTAAAGCAAAACAACATCATTATCTGATTTTGCAAAGAACTTTCTGCAGAAGTTCATGTCAGAGATGAGAAAAATCCCCCAAAATTGCATCCAGCCAACCTATTCAGCTACTGGAATTAAATATGGGATAAGCTATCAGCATTCATTTGCATTATGATACATTTAGCTCTCTGTTAGTTTAATTTAGCTGCTAATCAGCAAAAAATAACAGAAAACGAATTTACTGTTAAGTGGAGTGAATACTACTATTTTGCATCAAGTACTTAATAAAACTAAATTGAAATGTCTTATTAATAACAGTGATGGCGTAAAATGTTCACAAAAATGATCTTGAGCCTAGAACTTGATATGCCAATTTTAGAATTTTGCAGATTTCAGATTAAAAAAAATCATTAGGTTTAGATTAAAAAACCCTTTTTATAGAAAAGTATCTAAAGACTATTATTTTCATATAGAAATATATTACAATTTTATATAAAATAAAACATGGATAAAATGCACACAAAATTATATCCAATTTTAAATTTGAAAGTTTTGTGGTTTCGTGGTTTTATTAATTCAGAATTTCACTAAGAGCTTGTGCAGATTTCAAGTGTTGGTGGGTTTTTAATTTTATACAACATTATTAAAAAATAAAATGATGATAAGTTAAAGAAATATATTTACTGCTTTCAAAATGGCTTAGTTTTTTACATAATTGAAATAATACTCCGTATGATGTATAAATTAATGAAATGCTCCGAGAATCGTGTATTTGTCCGTTTTCAAGGAAATTAAATTGTAGATTTTATATCTCTTAGAATGAAAAAATCTGCTAGGCTACATGAATGATAAATATTATAATAAGATGGCAGAACATAATGGCCCCCAAATTGTAAAGACTCCATTATAAAGATTTCTAATGTCATTATGCTCCTTATTAAGCATGAAACCTGAAACTTCTTCTCTCAAAAGAAGACAAGTGAATTCAATTTTAATTTAGTGGTATTAAAAACTGTGTGAAGAAATATAAATGGCATTCATGAATTACCCCAAACAGAAGCTTCAGTAGACCAGTAAAATGGTGATAACTTTCCAAAAAATTTCTGCAAACATATCCTTTTGCCTGTTCTTTTAAGTGCATAAAAGTCTTCTTGCATTATTTTTAAAGTATCTATAACTTATTTTCTTCAGTGATCTTTAGGACTTAATAAGCAATGCAACAAAAGCTATCAGCTTTATTCAAGATTATAAAGTACTACAAAAAGCTGGAAATGCTCCTATGCCCATTAAAAAAAATTACATATTATCAAAAACATGTTGTGGAAACACAACACTGGTTCAGGTAGATTGAGAAGAAATGAATGGAAGAATTTGGCTTGTAGAAAGTCAGATAACATTTATAACATCAGAGTCATAATTAATTTGTCAATTAGATGAAAAAGCTTTGTTAAATCATTTCAATTCCCCAAAAGAAACAAGGAAATTACAAAAACAAGTCAATAGAAGACATGTGATCCATTATAAAATTTGACAATTCCTTTAGAAAGTCTTAATATTCAAACAGATAAATGTAAGGTAAGAGGTTATTTTAGTGTAATTAACTCATACTAAAGTTAGTTAACTAATTTTGATATTACGTCCCAAAATGTTCTGCATATGAATCATACATTTTATGATATTTCTCTTATCTGATGATTTTTAAAAATGTTTTATAAATTCCATAGAATATCAGTTTTTTCCTGATATCAGTCAAGGTCAAAGTTTGCCATGTTACAATCCAATTTTATCTTTCTTTAATACAAAAGAGTACTATAAAGCCCAGCATAGTAATAGATATATCAAATGCAATGAATTACCTTAATTTCCATATTAACAAAATGAATCTCTCATAAAATTAGACATAGCTTTTTTACTCATTTTCAGTACAGTAACAATACTGTCAAATTTTTTAAAGCTTCTCTGAATTTTTGTTTTCAGTTTATGAATTATTGCAGAAAAAGTATATTTGATTTGCTCTACATAAATACATAAATTTACACTACATAAATTTTTCTTTCATCATATACATTAAGAACACATTTTAGAATATGCTTTAAAAATAATTACTGCATTTGAATTCTTACAATATTTGAAATGCTTTTTTTCCTAACTATTAAAAATATAATTTTTAATTCAGAACCAAGAAAAGACAAAATTTAACACTAGAAAATAACCACTAGTTATATAAAGTCTTTATGTGATATTTAAAATGGCATTTAGAATTTCAAAACAAAGTGATATAAAGAAAATAATTATAAAAAATACTGTAATAAAAAGGATAAAAATTATTATCTTTAAGATGTAAGTAGGATAATAAGTTTTTTAATAAAAATACTTACTTAAAGGTCCAGAAAAAAAATGGAAGTGTAATCTCTTTCTTCTGGAGCATTTGACGTTGATAATGAGCAAGAATTTGTCGAGCATTTGTAAGTAAAGAAAGAGCTTGATAAGGCCAATCAGTTCCAAGGTATTCTACAGGCAATATCCCCTTATTTATTAAAAATAACAAAAGATAAATTTGAGTTTTGAAAATTACAACTCAAATTACATAAAGTTTTTTTCAAAGACCATTGATTTAAAAGTATTATTCTATGAATAATTAGAAGATAGATTCTAAATGAATATATGTCTTTTCTAATCTTATTGTCTCATTAATATATAATTAGAAATATTTCATTCTTTTACTCAGAACATAAAATAGACTATAGATTAATTCAATACAAGATCATAGAACTGAAAATAGAATAAAAGAATTTATTCTGCAATAAAAATTACATTATGCTTGCGAAAAATAGCAGATGCACATTATGGTATTGTGGCTATCCTGAACCTACACTGTTGCTCTTAATGTGTAAGAAAGAGGCAATAAAATTTTCATTTATGTGCAAATTCTTGGCTTCACTTGTGCTGATACAAAAAACTAAAGCCTCAGGAAAAAATAAAACTGCAACAGAAACTGTAAATGTAGAAACTGAAATTTCAAGACAAAACTTGTAAAATCATAAAAGAATATGTTGAAAACATATTCTTTTATGATTTTCTTTATTGATTTTCTTTTATTGATTTTCTTCAACACATCAGCTAATATTTTATTGTTTTCTGATTTTTAAATGAATCAATTATCAATCAACCTTTTGCAATTCTCCGAGTACCTCTATTACTCACATAATCCATTAATTCTCTTTTGTTTTGGAAAAGTGCTTCTAGCATATCACATGATTTTAAGCAGTCATGTTCCTAATCAGTGCTATTATTCCGCCACATGGACAACTACTAACATTCATGATGCAATTCCATTCAAGGAAGGGCATGGAATAGTGACAGTATATTTCAAAGGTCCTAAAAGAAGATGTACACACTTTGCTAACCAGGCTGTTTATTAAAGTTTTATCCATTTACTTCCTGGGAAAGGGGTGAGAAATTTTATAACATGAACCTTTAAGGAGATGAGAAAAACCTTGGTTTATGGAAAAGCCTTCAATGCAGATTTTTATTCTGAAAATGGGCAAGTATAATTTCCCGAAATTGCAGCAGCTGAATATTGTACATTTAAGCAACAAGACAGAATGGAAATGAGAATGATTTCCAGAAGGTGTTAACATGTTATGAAATGCACCTCATATTTTGTATGTAATTATTTTGTATGCACAAAGAAGTTGAAAAAACTACTCATCAGTTTGTTCTAAGTTTTGAACAATCAGGATGTCAAAATATAAAGCATTTCTTTTGAAGACACAGAGAATATTTTCAGGAGTACTGAATATGGTCTTTCACAAGTAGACACATGTTGAAGTACAGTTTAAGTAGCTTAATTGTTAATAATTGCATAACTTCCCTTGCTATAGACTTGTCAATTTGAAATGTGTTGTCAGTCATCAGCAATGAGACATACTGTTTGGGCTAAATGAGGTTTGTTTGGAATGTTATTCCTGACAGCAACTTATCACTTCATGTTTTCTAAACAGCAGAATGCAGTGAAAATTAAGAGATTTGTAGCCTAATTGGCCACACTTTCTCCAGAATGGGATTGTATTACAATCATACAAAACAAAGTTTACTTAAAAAGATGGGAAACAGGAATGCATTTCCACTGCCTTCAGCTGGCACTGCAATGAAAACTACCGCTCATTTAAAAGCATGCCTTTAGGGTGATCATCTTTGTTAATTTTCAGATAAGACAGTATGGAACACAAAAGAATTTTTTTCTCTTTTCTTAGGTTTTCACAGCTGGTGAAAGGGGGTGAAAGAAATGTAAACTAAGGCAAACTACAGAAGCAAAAACGTTAATGATTTACTCTTAAAAGAAGACAAGACTGAAGAGTCTCTCATCAGTCAGTGCTGAAAATGAATGTTGAACAGTTAACCTAATAATTGCTGAACAAGAACCAAAAGCTGAAGTTTTCAAAAATAAAGCTGAGTAGAAGGAAGAAAATCTAACGTTACAGTTGGGAAGACTACAGCAAAAGCAAAGATTTCCAATCAAGAAATGATGTTACAATGGCTGGGTTCAAAACAATGTTGAAATGATGAAGAATGGTTAAGAACAATGGGTTCAAAATAGTGAAGGATCTATGCTGGCCATCTATCTAATGATATCTTCAATGGCTACAAAATGAGACTATTTTTACCAATTAATGCTGCACAAAATATTTTAGTTTGAACTGGAAAACTAAACTGGAGGTAAAATGTTTATATTAAAGGCATAGTTGTCAACCTTGAAATTTGAAAATTTGGAAGATTTGTACCCAAACACAGGGTTGCCACTCAAAGAGGAAAATGAAATTCTCTGATTTTTCCAGGCGTGTTTTGAGAAAATTCCAGTTTATCTGCATAGTTCACGTTGGCTGCGCTGAGAGGTAAATTAATTATGGTACCACTTGAAAACACAAAAATTTGTCAATTGATAAACTTTTAATAGATAATCCCGAAGCTAAAGCTTAATAGGAGTTATTTCTCCACTGAAGATTGGATTAGAATCTGCCCAATTGGATTAAAAAATTAGTTTTTTTGAAGACATTTTGCATCTAAACGAAGAAAGAACATTAAACAAAAAAATGATATTTTAAATAAATTCAGGGATTTAATTATAGCAGCATACCTAAGCAAAAATATGTGCATCACTTTCGTGATTATTGTCTCATACTGCTAGATTTAGTTTCAGATTATGCCAGAGAAATTTCTGAAATGGAAATATATTAATAAGATAAATAAATTTAGAGGAAAGAAGAACAGTAAATGATATAAATAACATTAAAATGAATTTGATTACTTAAAAATTGAATTACAATAATCAATGATATTTTGGTGAGTATAGTCATATTAAACGCTAGCCTAGATGACTGATTACTATTTTTTTATTTTACTGCACAATGAAAAATATGGCATTTATTAAAATGAAAAAAAAAAGTTAAAAAGATTTTGCGGTAAAATCCCAGTTTTCGCTACGGCCTTGGTACAATTTTGAAAACTGCCGCCAACATCAAAATGAGCGGTTTACTGCCCAACATCTTCTTCTTAAACAGAGACAAAGAGACAGAAAGACTAAGCTCATCATAATGTCGCAAAATCCCGTGTGTATCATACATGGAGGTTAGAATAAAAAATACGTATTGTTAAGATAAAAAAAATTCTCTGCAACAGGAATGGCTCTGTCCCAACATAGAGAAACAGCTGCGTATGCGCGAAATATCTGTTGCCGAAGATCATGAAGTTCAAATGTCAAGTTTATCAAGAGTACATAAAACGAATATTGTTTTAAATTTCTTTAAACTTTAAAGGAAAAGGAAATATTTTTTCACACAAGTAAATTAATAAAGAGATTAGTTATTTGGATTAAGAGATTGAATTAAGAGATTAGTTATTTGAAGCAAAAAAAGTACGAAAATCCGAGTATAAATTATCATGAAAGTCAATGTTTCTAACCTCCATGGTACCATATATTAGGATTAAACTGATTTTGTTATATACAAGAATGGGAAGGTATTTTCTTTAGTTCAACATACACTGCACATGCGATTCTTAGGATTCTCGAGGTTCCTGGAATCCAAACTTGCCAGAAACTTGCTTTGCCTTTCTAAAAGACA